AAAAAGTACTTAGAAACCTAAAGAATATATATAAAGAAATATAAAAACGTAAAAATCATTAGCAAAGAAGAAGGAAATTATTGAGTGCATTGCAAGGCAAAAATTCTTTTTGTGAAATATAATATTTTAAAATATTCACGTTTTAATATTTTGTGAAAGATAAAATTTCTGAGTGTATTTTTTTTTTCTTGGGTACATGAGACAAGTTTTTATTACATTAGATTTCTTAGAGATTCATACAGTTAAGTAAAGAGATTTGATTCTAGTTGAAGATTTGATTGAAATAGTATTTCTATGATTAATACAAATAAGAATCATATTTATATTGAACCTAAAGATTTAAAATAGATTATATTTGATTCTTGAATTAAAAATATAAGGAGATGAAAGGTAACAAATATATATAATTAAATGCATTGAATTTGTATTAAATTAAAATTTTAGGTTATAATAAAAATAAAAATATTTCAATGGAGCTATTGATATTAAATTATGCTAGTTGAAGACAAATATTGATTAGAAATTAAGCAAAGATAGATTGATCTTTTTCAAAAGATTTGTGAGCAACAACACTAAAGATACAAGAAAAAAGAAATTCTTCTTTTAATGTTTAGAAGTAGCCTTATGTTTGACAGAGTGACAACTTAGAAGAATAAAAGGTAAGAAGAAATCAACTTATTGGTACATAAAACTCTGAAGATCAATAATGAAAAAACAAGATAATATCTACACATAAATATTAAATAAATTTATTAGCAATTTTTTATAAATAATATATTCCTTGAATTTTTTTTTCTTCTAAATTATGAATTGGTTCTAACGGTATTTAAATTCATCTTATAATTTGGATGGTGTATTCTTTTTAAGTTGGTGTAGAGAAACATAAATATATTCAGCTACTAAATTATTTAGAAAAATACACACCTTCAAAATTTATATTTATTAATATTTTAATAAATATATTAAAATAATTAAAATTAAAAATTATCAAAATATATCTATTATTATTAAAATTTAATAAAAATATAATATACTTTAAGAAATATAAAATAAATCATAAATTTAACAAATATTTATATAAACTTTTAAATATTATTTTATATGTTTTTAATTTAATATATATTTTTCAATTTTTAGATTTTTTTTTACTGTAATAATCAATAAATTGTAAGTAGTATTTAAATTTAATCAACAAAAAAATATGTAATAGAACATAATTTGATTGTTTAGCTTATTATAAAGAAATAGAATAGAATATATATATATATATATATATATATATATATATGTGTTGTGATTTATATTTTATAAAAAAATATTTATTTTTTATATGATAAGCATTAGTGATATTTTAAAAATACAAGAATTACTAAAAGATTTTAATTTTTGTAAATAAAATTGATTCTTGACAATATGTATTGTATTAAAAAAAATTATTAAACTTTAATTAAATAAATTATAATACTTTTATTTGATATAAAAGATATATTTTATTAAATAAAATTTTAAATTATAAAAATGATACTTCCACCTCATGTTTTTACTAGTATCATTCCAAAATATATTATTTCTAAAGATTTATTGGAAGAACTTCATGTATTTTATGTAACTATTTTTTCACTACTTGCACCTTATTTGAGAAGCTATTAGAGTTATTAAAGTTGCCCACTACTTTATTTTAATCTAGGTTTTTTAAATGTAATTGTGAATCATATATGATTATACTATCTTTCTTACGTGCCACATTGCTTACCATATTGTGCTAAATTACTTGATGATGTCACCTTTTGACATTTAGTTTGTAGTATTGAATATGTAATTCTCATCTACCTTATGCCACATATTGTTAGTGTATGGTAGAGATTATAATTTATTTAAAAAAGTATTTTTGTAGATAATTTAGTAAGTATTCCAATTAAAGTATATATTATTCTTAAAATTTAAGATTCTTTTTATTTAATCCAACAATCTTAATGGCAAGTAACTACTTGCATAATTTTTGAAAGTTGGATAGCAAATATCAATTTAATATTCTTACTTGATTTAGTTAACTAATTTTATTTGAATCAAGTACATGTTGATACTTGTTATGGTGAGCTTCTTGCACTGCTTGCTCTTCTACAACTTCTTGTTTGTACTTTTGAAGGTAGCACTTTGCCAATGGTATTCTCTTTCTAACAATAACAATGCTACTTCATCTTCTTGTTGCAAATCAATTTGGAAGTCATGAAGCCTATGATAAATATTGGCACTATCAAAATTGCCTTAATTTGACAAAAAACATGTGCCTATGATATATAAATAGTCATTTAATTCATTGTCCTTTTCAATTCATTTGCAACAAAAAACTCTCAATTTATAGTAACTAGTAGTAAGAAATAGAAATCACAACCACAATGCTTTGTAGGTGATGTTTGGACATTTCATATGTTGCTAACATGTTGCAAAGAAGCTAGAACAAGTTTGACAAATGTTGGCATTAGAAATTTGACTAGTTGAGATCTTGACAACCTTTCCAAAACAAAATATAAGCATTGTAGCAACTACTTGAATTATATATAAAATGGATGCAAAAATTAAGCAACAAATTTTGAATGGCAAGATACAAATTCAAGCCGTTCTTGAAGAGTTGGAATGTGACAAATACATACATCACTAAAATATGACAAAATTGGTTGAATCACTCATCTTTTTTTTTGTAAAAAAATTATCAATTGAGGTGATCAAAAAGAATAATGTGGTATTATTGATTGACTATACATAATACCAACAAGTTCAAAATGCCACCGGTCTATGTAATTGGCATGACAACTTGTAACACTACTTCTTCCTCATGGTTTGTATTTGTGTAGTTAAAAAATAAGAGGATTACAAGTGAGTTATGCATCAAATTGCAATCTTGTATGTAGAGACATCTAGAATTGTGAATTGGCCTTGATACTTGCTTTTGTTGTCATATTTTCAAATGCTCCGCTGCTTCTTTGCATGTGGCACATCAAAAAGAATGTTTTAAGCAACAATCAAAGCCATTTTACCACCAACAAAGTATGGCATGCTTTTTTAAAATGTTGGATTAGTATGGTGCAATCAAAGACCAAAGAAGTATTCTACAACAATTGACAATAACTCCAAATATAATTTGCAGGGTATTGTGTAGTGGTCTATATCAAACAAAAATGTATTTAGTTGAAATAAGACTTTGTATGTGCTTGGTGAAACTGTGACATACATTTTGGCAATGCAATAACTTCAAAGGTAGATGAGACACATGCAAATATCAAATAATACTTACAAGTTTTGACTAGCAATCTATGCGTGCCATGCCAATGGCTTGACTAAGTATATAGAATTAGGTCAAGGAAATAACAAAAAAGATAGATTTTAATAAGTTGTGGATTTGTTACATACTAAATGTTTCTTTCTTTTGCAATATTATTACTAAAGTTTCAACTTTTGCAAAAATGAATGTACTCAAGTGGTATTTGAAGGCAAACTAAGTTAGTGATGAAGATCCTTTGGATGCCTCTTTTTAATTCTATATGCACATTTGGGGGCTTCTTTGCGCTTACAAAATCTGGAGTTATTTTTAGCAAAATTAAGCATTCAATGTCAATGACTTTCATAAATATTGGATATTAAAGAATGGAGAACAACCACTATTTTGACTACAAATTTGTTACAAAAAAGATAGTATGTGATTCAAGCACAATTTTCTTCCTAGCATGTCTAGTATGAAGCTATGATGTTGTAGTAGCTTGATAACATGCCTTCAAACATGTAACTCCAAAATCCAATAATACCTTGGACATATAATTATCTAAATAGTGTAACAAATCATAGATTGAGCTTAATCAGGAAAGATCCTTCTACATTTGAACTCATGGCTAGTTGAAAGTATTGATATTATTGTCAATTCAACTATTCCATAATAATATATTTTAATTATGATTTGCAAACTAAATAAACTCATGTGTTAATATTAAGATATATTTGACTTCTTAAATAAGGTGAAAATAGTAAAAAAATTATGCACTTGAATTTTATAAGATACTTCTAGTAAATCTTTGGAAATAATATATTTTAAAGTAGTGTTTCTTAATAACATTAGATAGAAATATCATTTATTTAAATTAATATTTAAAATTAAAAATAAAATTAAAAAAATAAAGTATTGATTGTATTACAATAGGGCAAAATGACCAAAAAGAAATCTATGTCTAAAGAATACATTTGAATCACATGTTGAATAAGAATTAAAGAAAAAATTGTATAAATAAAAAAAACATTGATTTCCTCAATTTGTATTACTTCAAAGTTTAAAAAATTGTTCTTTAAGGTTTAAGAAATTAATTTTATACATCTTCTTTTTACTAAAATATTTATTTAAAGATGTTAAAATCTATTATTTTTAGTTTTAAAAATATACATATTTAACTTGTGATATATTATCTTAACAATTTATTAAATGATCAAACAAAGATGCCATCTCAAAGCCAACAATAATGTTAAACTTTAGAATTTGTTAATATATTTATATAATATTTTAAATATTAATATTAAGCTTATATTAAAAATTAAAAATATATAATCATCATTTTTAAATCATATATATATGTATCTTGGATTTGGCTCTTTAATAATTTATTATTTCTAAATTCTTTGTTTTATGTATAAAATCTCAAAGATGCAAGATTAAAAAATAAAATAGATTATATAAAGTAGTAGTAAAGGATGGAAGTTTGAATGTAGTTTTCTTGTTTATGGTCATTCATTATATGATACTTAGATATTTGAAATTAAAAATATAAATAAAATCAAATAGAAATTATTGATTGCTTCACAAGAAAGTAAGAACAAAGAATTACATTGATTTCCATATTTGTTTTTGTATTTAATAATGTAATGTTCAAATTCGGGATGAAAAGAGTTGGATGTAAACCAGCATCTTCGTGGGTGGGTCTGGATGCCATAGAAGGAATGCCGAATTTGTATTCACACAAATGAGGCGAGCATTTTCAGTTTTAGGGTTTGGGAAGAGCGATAGTTGCATTTTCGCAGCTGGGTTGTCGAGGAATTTGCTGGCTATGATGCAGTCAGCAGGGCTGCCATTGCAGCAACAGCAGGAGCAGCATGAGGAGTCCAAGCCTGCTCGTGTTTCCTGCACGTCCAAGTTGGATTCTCTCTGGTTCTGTTACTGTGAGTCTCTTTCTCTTGATACTCAACCTCGCCGATTAGGTTGCAATAAGATTTAGCGGTTCGGTCGGGTCCGTTGCCGGAAACATTCGTGTTTTTCTCTGCCTTTCATTCAAATGCCACAGCTAGATGCACGTTATGTACACCTGCTAATTGTATACTTGCTGTGAGGAGTTATGTCGTAAGAATTCACAGTGCTTGTGTATGGATGGTTTCCCGTTTATGATATAGGACTTTCTCGGTATCATCCCACTGTCCCTTACTTGGTCACACTATCTCATCTCAGCCCTTGTGTGAAGTTAGACACATTAGCAGCGGAAAAGGCTAGAATTTAGGGATCTGTGAACACGTTATGGGAAGGTTGCTGTGTAATAGCTGTATCGTTATTTGTTGAATCGTGACCGTATGCTTGGCTGCCGATTCAGATCTATTCTTTGATTTTCGGCTCTTCCTCCATTCTGACAATCGTGAGACTGTTGCGCAGCTCCTGTGTACCAGATGACGGAGTATTATCGGGAGGGTACGTTTGATAATTGTCGCAGAAAATGGTCCGAACTATTCGACTGCATCTCTCTCAAAACTAAGCGGGCTGATGAGATCAAGGTATGAATCTGATGGAATTGTATAAGGTCTTTAGTAACGAACCAAACCACCTAAACCAAGAATTACGCATTAGAGCTTAGGGTTCATTTTGTTGAAATTTTCCTGTGCGGGCATTGGGGCAAGATTCCATCACTGGATTCATAATTCTAGACTTCCCTCCAAATCTGTCCTACATGATGCTGTAAATGAGTCTAAGCGACTAATTTTCTTACAGGTTATACTGGAAGAAAGAGGGAAACAAAAACCTCACATTTGGAAATTCCGAACCCCTGAAGAGGCGTCGCAGCGTTGGAAGGAAGAGTTCGGCCATCTTCAAGACTAGATCATTGTTTTCCCGACTCTTTATGTATATTTTATTATCACTCTTACACAGATTATCATTGACGAAGGCAAGAAAAAGAGAGTGATAGGATTTTCATTCTTTTTAAAACTGGTTATTACTCAGACAAGATTACAATACTGCTATCTTGCCCTTGTTGTATTAAATTTTGGTCCTAATTGCAGGAATATCTTGTATGAAATGAGCTCACTCTCGGAGGTTTATACTTAGTTTGACGCAGCAGTAGCTGTTTACGCAGTAGAGATAGGCCTTTGCAGTAGAATTTGCTATCATATCTTGAATGGAAAGTTTCGGTGATGAAATGAAATGGATACTGGCGTGGCATGAGTATCAGTGTGTGTTTTTTTTGTGCACAGTATGAGAGACATAGTTGAAATACTTAAGAAAGGAATCGAAATCTGCACTACTGTGATGTTCTTTCAGAAGAAAGAGTTATTCAAGCTCAAAGATGGTTGATTTATGTTTTATTTTAAATGCTTTACATGTATGAATGGATTATAAATTTCATGCTTTACATGTATACATGGTAACAGAAAACGTTTGTAAACAGAAAACATTTGTGAAAAGAAAATATTTGCCGAGGCACTCGAGGAGCTCAAGGCATTTGCCAAGGCACTTGCAGCCGTCTCGCATCCAGAAACTTAGGGGAAGAACTTATAACGAATTTTAAACTATATGGCTGTCCACTGCAATGGCTTCTGGAAGTACTCGAAAAGCTACTCTGCCCATCTAAATCTCAACATTAAGTTCGCACGCATTCTTAACAACAGCATCTGTGTTGGACTCGAGGAACGCCTCGACTTCCTGCTCCATCTGAGCACCCTCGATTTGTTTTCTATGTACTCTTTCAGCTGCATTGACTGAATAGCACCTGCACGCGAACCGCATCACTTCTAAGTGGAATTGAAGTGGGGGCGAAACACTCGCGCTGATCATAGAACAAAAACTGCATTTGCTTCTTCAACGTGCTTCAAACAAAATAGCTTAATGAGGTGTATACTGTCCCAGAATTTATGGCGAAGAAACCAATCCAAGCCCATTTCAACACGAGTCACCAAAACCTTCTTTAAACATGGAACTTTCAAAATAACAATAACGACATCAAGATCCCCGTTAGTAACCAATCATGTGAGTTCTCTAAGCTAATCTCTCTTTCAATGCACATGGTCTTCGGCCAAAACTATATTTGTAAAGTAAAACCTGAGTCATCGGTGACATGGATTTCGATAGAATGGGCTTTGCTACGAAACCACTCTGCCGCGAATGGCACTCCCAGAGAGTAAACGCTCTTCCCAAGCTCTTTCGCATCCTGCCTCCCATACACGTATCCAATTGTCTGCAGCATTGGTACTCCAAAACCTGCACCAGGCCCAGCTTTAGAGCAAAACATACCGCCTACCTATTTACCACATCTCCAACTCACATCCTGATTTTGTAGAATCGAACAAGCGCCAACAGGAAGACAGATATCAGACGCCAACAGCAACAAAACGAAAGAGAACTTGAAACCAGCTCTTGAACCTACCAGAGTCCTTCAGTCTTTCCCTCTCTCCTGTGGCCGACTCAACAAATTTCAGCTTGTCCCCACTGACATAGGTGTAGAAGATTGTGATTGTCAAACCAGAGAACAATCACAAACTAGTGTCAAATAGGCACTACACAACAAGTTGATTAGCAAGACGAAGCTTTCAAACAAGGAGGAGGTGACCACCTTCAATTTTGCTTGGAATTGCCCTACATATATTGGTAGATTACCACCACTAATGTCCATTCCAGGCATTGACAACTGCCACAAGAAGCAACGCCACGAGGGGCAAATTTAACAGTATAGAGGGTAAATACTGCACTGAACGAAGGGAGCAGGCAACCTTTCACCGTGTTAGTTCTCAGCAGCAGCTTCCACTTAAATTTGAACTTCTATTGACAATGCAGCTACCCATCACACAACTGAAACTCTTCTGTTATGGGGAAAAAAATAGCGAGGGTGTCTACACTTAACTGCTTCCGCCTTACTAATAAAAACAAATAAAGATTGGTTTTCACCACCACATCAATTCTGGTGTGAAACCAGTCTTACAGAGATGATCTTGACTCTACTTACACTTCGAACTTTTAGAGTAAACACAAATGTAGATAAAATGATGAAAACAGGATTATACCTCACCAATATACTCTACAAAAGCATTGCTACTGAACAACATTTGAATAACAGCCTCGTCACAACAGGCGTTCTCCATTTCGGTTCGTGTAGCCTCGACTGTTACCTCAACTACGACATGATGCTTTTTATCCCTCACCATCTTGACGAATCAACCAGGAATTAGCTTCGCACCCTGATAATAAAACGCACAAAACCAGTTTAGCACTCACGACGACAACCTCAGATGCTTTCGGACCAAAGACTCTCGCCTTCGGCAAAATGATCGCCCTCAATGCTCAATTTTATGTGCCTAGAAGTCGAATCTGGCTGGAAAACAGGCTTGATTCTGGCTAACACTTTGTAAGCTTCGTAGAATCCAGAGTCGTAAGGCTTCACAAACATTCCGCCGGTGGCTTCTTCACTCTTTTGATAATTTGAAATTGTTTCAAACTTGTTAAGGTTTCTCAATAACATGTTTTTATTTAGTTTTTTAATTTTAAAAGATATGATTTTCTTTTTCTTTTTCTTGTGAAGACATGCACTAATTAGAAATTTATTCTTTAATTTTCTATTATTATTATCTAGTGCTTTTCTTAAAAAATCACTAAATAATTAGAAATGGCCATATTGACCGTTCTTGTATTTAATTCTCTATAAAAGCACACAATAAAAGCACACAATCCAATCGTCATCCAATATCATTTTGTTTTTGTTTTTGTTTTTTTTGTTTTTTTTTGTTCTCAAATTTTGTAAAAATCTTATTTAATTATTTATTTCTGGAATTTGTACTTATCAGGTAGCTTTGAAAAACTGTTTAAAATTTTATTCCAAGTCAATGTATTCAATTTATTTTTTTACTACATTCAACTCTAAAACATTTACCTAAATAGTTCATCACGACAATTTCAACCATTTTGATATATAATTATTATATTAAATTAATAAAAGAATCATATTTCAAAATTGCATCATGTGCTTTATCAAATTAGAACACAGTAAATGTCAAATTTTGAATGTTGGTACCTCTTGGAATTGTCCATGTCATTGTAGAGCTTCTTTGAATCCTCGTACAGAATTATAATAATTTTACAAAATATACTAAAACTTTTCAAGAGTAAAAAGTAAAAAATATATAAATTCTATTTCTACAATTTTTAGAAAACAAACTTTTATTTTTCAAATGAAGACTATGAGATGCAAAATTGAACTTATCCTTTTTTTGATGATTAATCTTTTTGGTTTTTTGCTTTATAATCTTTCTACTAAACAAGCCTACCACCTTACATTGTTTCAGTATTCTTAAACCTCGGTTTTCAGTGTAGAAGATGGAGTTTAAGAGAAAGAAATTCAACATAAACAAAGATGCAAAGAACATAACAATGTTACTTATAAACAATACATCTTTTCCTAATAGTAGTATGTAACTGAAATATTTCATTTTATTAAGAAGATATTTAATCTTATCATTGTTTCTATAAAAAGGTTCTGTTTATTTGGCTTATGTAGCACAAAGCTATAGCGGCTAATACTTGAAATTAAAACTCAATCCTATTATTTATATTTACTATGTTATGTGTCAACTCTAAATACCCAAATCTATTCTTTATAAGTTTTGGGAGTGTCATCAAGCTTGTAATATATGGAATTGGGTCACCTCTCTCTTATATAAACTGACATCCAATTCTTTGGATTGAGGCCCATAGAAATCCTTTACTTGGCAATAAACTATTTTTCCTAAAATTCTTCTCTTTACTTTCAAATATTTTTGTAAGATATGGTCCTTATTTAAGGATCTTTGTCTATGGACTATTTGGATATCAAAAAAACCAATTTGTCTTTAAAAATGAAGTATGGAGTACAATCCAAACTAGAAGCTTAGTTTGAAAAGGTCTTATTAAATATGGACAATTTTTTTTGGAAATTTGTTGAAAAAAATTAACAAAGCATCTACAACATGAGTCTTTTCTATTAAAGAGATGGCATAACTCAGGGATGACAAATGCATAATTGATTCTGGAAATGATAAAGTAATTAAATAAAACTCTAAAATACCTTAGTGTGATGTGATCATATACAAAAGTATAAATGAACTTGCTTTAGTAGCTATTCTATATTCATAGTATTCTTAGTTCCACCTCCAAGTATTTATTTATTTATTTATTAATGCATTGGGTATATCTTATTTTTTTGTTAAAATAAAATAAAATAAAAGAAAACAAAAACACAAGAAAAAAACTAAAAATAAAAGTAGAAAAGAGTTGCAATGGGAAGATAGAATAGGAAGATAGAGAAAAGTGTGGCACTATCAAAGGTATGTAATAAGAGTTATCCTGTAACTTCAAGACAAGGCTCTTAGAACATTTACATTCATTTTTTGTTATCTTTTAAACATCAAAATATTTCTTCCTGAAGAAATGATCTGATAAGACAACTATTTGTCTAATTCTAAAGTTCTTTTCTTAATCTCATCAACTTCTTCAATGTTTTCTTACAAAGACTAATAAACTGAAGCTATAAGCTACACCATACTTATACCATTAGTAATGTACCACACAAAATCATACAACCCCTACCAAGAAAGTTAACTATTTATTTTTATTATTTATTCGCATTTGTTTTGATGGACATATTCTCACGATGAACACACCTCGGATATCAACGGCGCTGTACCCAATTCTAAGTCGCTTTCGCGTTGAGCGGCTCGAAGCTTACTGCACCAAGCATCAAAAGCATCGCTCAAATCTGGCCATGCCTTACGACATTTCAAACACGCTCCAACCCATATTTTGAACACGGCTTCTTGGTCCAGCATAGGAAGTGTTTCAACCACCGCACCAAAACTCAGCTCAACGTTCCGTCGTATCTCGTAGGTTCTCCCAAAATTGTCGTTGTGATCGTTGCCGAGCTTTGCGATAATAGGCAACCATGTTGAGATGAGGGCTAATCGCACACTTCTAGGTGCAATGACCTCTCCTTTGTGAAGAGCTTGCAACATACGGACCAAAATTTGAAACAAAGTCTCTGTGAAAGGGTTTTGATATACTCTTGAAACCATTAGTTGGGCAAGCTCTTGCTCTTCAGAGAATATCTTTATGGACATGTCGGCAATTTGAAGAGAGAACAACTCATCAATTAGCCATCTCAATGCTGAACAGGCAAGGGTCACCTGTTGATTTGTGCAATGTGAACCGGACGTAAGTATTTAATTCATATTCGAAGTGGAAAAAAGAACTTAGTGCCTTAACCATGAAATTTTAACATAGTTGTGACAGTAATGTACATATAGAGTGAATTGTAATAAAAATAGACCTGTAGTACAAATAGGATGAAATGATAGCAAACATTGAATACATGAAAAGAATCAGTATATGTGTGCAAACATCTTATAAATAGTATTCATATTCTAGATAAACATCAAAAGTAACTCCAGTGTATCATCTTATATATGTTTCAAATAGTCTGTGAGATCATATGGTATCAATTTGCATGTTTCGAAATAACAGTATCCTGGAAAGTGAAATAAATTTTGAATTCATTTAGTAATGAAAAGTAAATATAAACATAAATTCAAAACAAATCACCTGATGAGCATTCCAGGAAAAGAAGTTCGCAAACTTCCGCAATTGAGATTTCAATTGACCCAAATTCCCCTGGAACTCTTTAAGCAAGGCCAGTTCATTAACTCCACCGAAGGCAGACGACGCAGAAGGGTGGACATTGGCAAGAAGCACACGCTCCGTGATATCGCGCGCTTTCGAAGGCGCACCATTCGTAACCAAAGCCAGAAGCTCTCCAAGCACGTCCTTCATCACGTCGACTGGCTTCCGCATGGCTCCCTCGGGCGCACACAACCTGGCTGCCAGATCTGGGGACGATTGCAAGTGCAGGCTCGCGACGCATTCACGGATCGCCGTCTCGTTCTCGACCGTCCAAGGAACGGCTTCCAAGTACCGCATGCACGCGCCCACGCAGTCATGGAACAACAACTCGGCCGCCACTTCCAGGATCCCGAGCGCATCTTGCACGTCGTCAAATGCTGTGTGCTTGATACGATTGGGGACATACAGCAGCTGTAAGCATCGGACATAGGTGCTCGGATTGACGCACTTATCCAAGGTGATTTCTAACGGCTGGCCTTGGCTCATCACCGACCACCTCTCACTCAAGCGAGCTTCGAAAAACTCGCTGCGTCGCAACGCTTGCGAATGCAGCAAGAGTGGCGGTAGAGGGGGCCCTTGGAGGGGCCTGAGCATAAGGATGACGTCCGCGGTGCCTTCGTCGCCGTATCGAGGCGAGGCTCCCTGCCCGGTGGCCATGGCCTCCAGCGACCGACGCGGGAGGTATGGCGCCGCGTTCCAACGGGCCAGGCGAGGCCGCTTTCGCGGTGGCCGCACCGACACCGCACGCGGACCCAATCCCGTGGCGGCTCCACTACTGCCCTGGGCGATGAATCTACACGGTGATGAGGTGCCCATGGGCGGCCACACCTCATGACCGTGGCGGGAGTGCATGACCCCGGGCGGAGAAGGTTCTGGTGGTGCGATGGGAACAGACATGGGAACGTTGCTGTTGGGTTGAATTCGATCATAGCCACATGGATGCATCTGTGGCCAATTTTTTATTTTATTTTTTATTTTATTTCTCGTTCCCTATCCCGTTCCCGTTCCCGTTCCTCCTCTGTTTCGAGTTTCTTCTTTCACCAGTTTTAAAATATTTCTTCGTTCTTTTGTCACAGCATAAATTTTATAAATCGCCTCCAATCGGGTGAATATATATATATATATATATATATATATCGAGAGAGAGAGAGAGAGAGAGAGAATTAAATTAATTTTAATATTATTGAGCTCAATAATATAGCTTATAGATGCCAAGATTTGTTATTCCACATATTGTTCCACCTTCTTTTCTTTTCTCTTTTCTAGTCAAAATGATGTTTTTTTTTAAAAAAAAATTATCTCCAATTTGAAAACATAATTTTTTTACTTATTTCTTAAAACATATTTTTATAGAATATTCCTTAAGTGAATTACAATTTCCTCTATTTTAGATGAAATAACCTTTACATTTTTGATTTAGAAACTTCCACAATCAACATAAACATTTGAACAACCACATTAATACATGAAGGAATATTTTTCCTTTTGTCAAGTCATGAAGCACATATTGTTGCCCCCGTTTTGCAATTGCTCTTGTTAATATTTCCGCAAGTAATACGCACTTAGATTGCATAAGTGATACAGACTTAGAATTGATTCAATTAATGGTATTCTTGAATATTTTAACTTATTTGTAAAGCTAAAGATTTGAGAGCATATACCAATTCTTTAGGTTGAAATTAGGTCAAAAGAAAAGCTCTTTTGTCGTCACCACACCAAAGAGGTGTTTTAGGGCAAAGAATGAGTTGGAAACATGAGAATAAAGATCTTAATGGGGCACATTTCATTGCAACCAATGAAGTTCTATGTTGAAAAGGCACAATGTGTCTGAATAGCCACATCATCTTATCAACCAACTGATTAAAGGCGTTTATTAAATTACAAAATAATAGGTTCAGTTTTTAGGTTTGAATTTCTATTCCGGATAGTGACAATGCATTTTGTAATCTTGATCATAATTGAGCACAATTCTTGTAAACTTAGTAAATAAATATGTACATTTTTTAAATATCGACTGAAGATATTGATTTTTTTGGTTACATTTGCAACATTAGCACTCTCTCATTATTATTTTTATTATTTTTATTAGTGCTGATTGCAAAATAAGAGACAGTGTTTGAAAGGTTTTAGAATTTTATTATAATACATACATTTAATTCCAAAACATATGGAATGTAAATTTTTTGTTTGAAATTTATTTAAGATATGAATTTGATCCTCAAATGAGACATGTATGGACAAATTTATATATGAAGAATGAAAATTCAAAGGATTGAAGGCACCATTTGTGCTATCAAGTTAATCCAAACCTCATCTTGCAATTTATGAGGACTATATTATTGAAATAAAAATGAAAATGAAAATCCAAAAAATTAAGATAATGTATAGATGATCAAACAATAAGAGCTGGTATATTTTTGGAAATGGTGTGGAAATAATTTACCACCTGATCTCGCCTATGCAATATTTTCTCCATCTCTTCCACAGAGAGATGGGATCCAAGCTTTTCTTGTAAGATGGACATTTCTAAACCTTGAAGTGCCACTATTGTCTTGAGCGATACTTTCTGCATTGTTCACCCATTATCTAAACATCAATACATAATCACAGTTTATCCATTCTTTTGAACTGCTCAAAATTATTTCAAAGAATCCCCAAAAAATAAAAATAAAAAGTTGAAATTGTACAAATACATACTATGAGCATAAAAATATATCTTCATATACTAGCATTTTTTGAGAATGTTTTCTATCAAATTATGCAACACATACACAAGATTACACTTAAAAGGTAATTATGTGATGCTTTTTCTTTTTGTTCGTTGAAATCATATATATATATATATATATATATGTGTTGGAAAAAGAAGAGTAAGAAGATGAGAGATGAATTGTGAGTTGTACTTGAACACCCCTTGAAGAGCTCCTAGGGTTCCACATGGGATGAAGTTTTTCATTTCCTACACTACCATGAGGGTGGTCCAATAGCATTGGGCACCGCTTTCCATGCCACACCCAATGTAAGCCTTCCATGAAATATCTTCTTTCTCGTGGAATGGATCCCACAAGAGCATCCAACACATGAACATTACTTACCAAATATACTGATGATTCTGCACCCCATTCCTATCAGAGAAAAATAAAAACATTTTTAAAGTTATATTTTTGATATAGTCTGGAAACAAATAAACTGTAAATAGTACAAAAACATTTTTCACCCACAAAAGAAATGATTTTTTTGAGTCGGCTATAACATGGAAGAAAATCTTCTTCTCAATTATGAGCATAGAATTTTATACTAGACATTGGATATGAGCTTGAAAGCCAGTCTTGGAATCAACTTTTGACAATTGATGTGGTAGTTTGTGGCTTTTACAATGCAATACATCACATTTGAGTTCAAGATTTTTAAAATTAAATTTTTTATTCATGTAATGAAAAGAGACCAGAATGATACTTTTAAAGAGATATGCTTTATTTACTTTGGGAGTAAACTAGAACCTGAGGGCCTACACGAGTTAATGTTTTGACGTTGGGCACAAAATGAATCACTGTTCCCAAAACAAATAAAATGCCTCCCACTTGAACATTCTGGCGCATCACTGCGGGAGGAACCATATCTGTGTCCAAAAATAGTCCTAACTACACCACAAATCACGCACTAAACCATCAACCTCACAACAAATCACCTTCCAACAAAACTCCAGTCCTTTTTTCAAAATAAAATAACACATCCCATAATAATAATATTAACACCCATCAAGCTCTTCATCTACAAAAACACTGTAAAAAGTGCACAAAAAGTCATCCATATTACTCAATTCTAGGTATGTGTGTAAACACTTGGAGAATGAAAACAAGGGGCACTGATGGCTATACGACTAAAACCTTCTCACTAGAGAAGACAGAGTACTACGGAGACAGACGAGCCTCAAAGCATCAGACAGTCAGGCACACGAGAGGCACTGAGAGTTAGGCACACACTTGGTATGCGACCCAGTCGGGCGAGGCGGAGGAGTAGCGGTGGGTGTCCGTGGCGTTGTAAGGCTTGAAGATGGCATGCGCCACGGACGCATCCTGGTTGAGCAGCCGTCTGTCTCCGTAGTACTCTGAGGTGAAGAAAGGCTACTGGCCTTGGCCTCCAGTGATGCGCACACGCAGGAAAGTGCCTGCGCCGCCAAGATGATGGTCTTCTCCTTCATGTACTCGCTCGGGTCCAACACATCCCCTTTCACCGTTGCCACCAGCGTCACGATTCCCGTGTTCGTGTCCTTGTTGAACTTCACTGTTGATTTCGTGTACGTGACTGCGTCGTATTGTGTATCGTAAGGATTTTGAAGAGCTGGGGCTCTGATTTCTTGTCCATTCGGCGTCGATTTTTCCAAGTTCGTTTCATTTCCATTTTGGCCAACTCCTAGTGAAGGAGGCGGGGTTCCACAGCATGTGTTGTTTTGAATAATGCCTCCATTTGATGTTTCAATTGTTTGTTCTTGACCTATGAAAAAGAGAGGAATAATAGAAATGGAAATTGCGGTTACTTACATATTATCGAACTATTCATCGGGAGATGGTCATGCAAATTATCACAATAACTGTCTCGAACGGTTGTACTCAATCAATTAATTTCGTAGGCATATGACGGAAATTAGAATATACCATCTTCACACGTCGCACGAGGACTCTCAGTCGGAGAGCTTGAATCCTTCGGTGATCTGGTTTTGACGCGAAGAAGAATATGCCTCAATTTCTCGATGGACGCCTTCGCCCTATGCTCGATCTTCTCCAGGTTCAACGCTGTATCCTCAACATTCTTGCGATTGAAATCATCATGTTCATGCGGGGAAGGGTATTTTCTGGATTCCGAAGGCATTTCCTCTCCAAAATCCTCTCCTATTCCGGAGGTTTTAGTACCATGTGATTGCCTTGCCCGTCTGCTGTTGTGGTCATTGCAATTCCTTTTCGATACATCAAAGTTTTTAGGGCTTTGGACATGTGCAGACTGCGTTACGCTTGCGGGGCTGTGGGTTCCTGTCTTTGTTCGTTGCAAATACGACAAAGCTTCAAGTGAGCCTGCAGCTTGTAACAGTGATGTGGAAAGGGCGAGGGAGGAAGACACAGGTATGCCAGGCAGTTGCAAATTTCGGTATGGGTCAAACATGGGTGGGGGAACAGCATAAGACGAAGACGACGAAGTAGATGGCGGAGAAGATGCTGCTGCGGTTGCTCCTGTAGCTAAAGAGTGATCCAGTAAGGCTAGCTGTGCATTTAGCAATGTCCTCATGCTAATACTTGTCTTTGTCTCTAGGCCTCCAGCAGCAACACCACCACCATCGCAGTTTGTTTAAGCTCATTGTTTGCGTGCAGTGCTTATTTCCAGTCATACCTTTGCAGTGTACATAAGGAGAAGCTCACTTACTCATGTTGTGAAGAAGTTTGTTTATGTTTTGAGCATTGTTTCCTGCATGGAGATGATGGGTCTTTACTAGTACAGTGTAGAGAAATGTCGAAGTTTATGATTTGAGCAATTGTAAAATTGTCCTTTAAAATAACTTGTGAGTAAAGGATTCATGGTTTGTTGGCATGTTGTGGACTTCAGGAGGTGCCAAAGAATCGGATTATTGAACATATTTCAGCTGACAATATCAAATTAAAAATACAGTAACTTTTTTTTATAGTAGTAATTCTATAACATGATTGAATTGATAATAAAAGAAATAATTATAAGTGCCATTCTTCACCAAAATGAAAATAGATTTGCAACTATTGCAAATATTGCTAAGCTTGTCAACACTCTTAAGATGGAAATTTCACATATTTTTAATGTCAATCATGGAAGTATTATTTCTATACCTATAGAATAAATCAATAATAAAATTTAAAGTTTATACTAAAAAGTTTTATAATTGACAGAAGCAAGTAGATTAAATTTACAACTTAATCTAAGAAATCTTATTACTATGAGTGTAAGGGAGGTAATAATAATTATACATGATCAAAGTTTTGAGAATTTCTACAATAAGTAAAGCTTTATATAAGATTGCAACATTCTCAATATCTTGATGGATTTACTCCAATTAGATTTATATATGCATTTCTATCATTTTTTTTTTTTTTTTTTTTTTTTTTTTAGTTTTCACATTTGATGGAAAATGATTCAAGACTCTTTAATGATCTAAATCCATTCTTAAAAGTATTTACAGCCATATTTAGAGAAAATAATTAAGAAATGTTAATAAAGACCAAATTTCTATCCTTTCAACAATGATCACATTTAGCCACCATATGCTACTAAATTCTAAAGCCTTATTTACAATTTATTGCTCAAGCTATTGCATGCAATAATCAACTCTTTGAAAGATGGTAAGAAAAAAGGTTTGGTTGAAGAGGTACAAGTCAAGTTATAGCAATAACTTTTAAGTTTTCAAAAGTTTATTCCTCAAGGCCAAAATCTATGACTTAATATATTTCAAATCTCTTATTGAATAAAAAAAAATTCAACATTATTAGAAAATTTTGTGCTTATATTGAAGGAAACCTAAGTATATTATTCAACATTGTTTAAAAAAAAAACCTAACTACAAAATGAAGAGCATGGTTGTCAAAGATGACAATATGTTAAAAAATAAGTTTTTTAAGCTTTAATAGGAATTATGCAGCTAGAATCTTGTATAACACATAGTAAAGGATATATTCTTTTATTAGATTCTTCACCTTGTTTTACAATAGAAGTTTGTTTAGGACCAAAAAATCACAAAGTTTTTGCTTTATTAGATTTAAGAGCCTTAGTTTGTTTTATAAACAAAGATTTCATTAAAAAGCAAAAAATATTTTTAGTTAAGAAAAATAAATCCATGTACATAGAAATTATAGATATTCATTCATTGTCTTCTGGAGATATCATCTATAAACTTATTTTTTTGAATGTAACAACTAAAAATCATAATAGTTTAATAATATTTAATATGATTAAATTTTCTTTTAATTTAATTATTTTAGGATTATTGTGGCTAAAAAAATATAACCTTTAAATATACTAGATATCTTAAAAACTTGATTTTTCTTATAATTTAATTCAAAATTCTAAAAATCAAATAAAAATCTATAAATCGAATACAACCAAATCTTTATTGATAGGTGCAAGAACTTTCATGTATGCTACAAAAGAAAGATCATTTTTTGTTATATAAACTACATCCATTTTTTTATTGTGGAAAGATTTCTAGTAATACTCAAAGCCAAAATCTAGATCATCAATATGTTTTTGAGAAGAAAAATGCAAATATTCTTTGAAAATATTATTCCTATGTTTATTCAATTGATCTTCAAGAAGAAGCTCAATCACCATTTAGATCAATCTATAGCTTATCACAAAACAAGTTAGTTGCAATAAAGGAATATATTGATAAGAACTTGGCTAAGAACTTCATATGCTATTCTAAATCTCTAGCAAGAGCTTCTATCTTATTTGTAAAGAAATGAGATACATCTATGCAAATGTGTGTGAACTATTAAAGATTCAACAAGATCACCATTAAGAATAAGTAATTTTTTTCTTTAATTTTAGAACTTATTGATCAATTCAATTAAACAAAAAAGTATACAAAAATAAATCTATGAGGAGCATTTAAAAAAATAGATGAATGAAAGATTTTATTTCAAACTAGGTATAGATATTTCAAATACAATTTCATGCTTTTTGGACTCATAAATATACCAATTGCTTTTTAACATCTAATAAATGATATTTTTTGATAATTTCTTAATGATTTTTTTATTTATTATCTAAATGATATTTTAATTTATTCTAAGAATAAAAAAGAACATGAACTTTATGTTTGTTGTGTATTATAAAACCTTAGATATATAGGACTATATGCCAAGATGGAAAAATATGTATTTTATACTACTCAAGTTGATTTCTTAGGATATATCATTTCAAATGGTAACTTAATGATAGATTCTAAGAGGATTCAAACTATTATAATTAGAAGATTCTAAAAATAGTAAAAAATATATAATATTTTTTTATAATTTATCAATTATTATCATATTTTTATTAAGAAATTTTCTCAAGTTGTAGCTCTTCTTATACATCTGACATGTAAAGATAAACTTAAGTGGAGCATGGAAGCTAAAGCATCTTTTAAAGTTTTAAAAAAATCTTTTATTTCTACATCAATCCTATATTATATCAACTTCTCTAAGACATTCTTTTTAGAAAAAAATGCATTGGGCTTTGCTTTAGATGTAATATTATTATTAAAGTAGAATAGATAAAAAATTCCATCTAATAACTTTCCATTCCAAAATTTTTTTAACAATCAAGACCAATTACAAGATCCACAATAAAGAACATATTCAAATTGTAGATTCATTTTGAGAATAATATCATTATCTAGATGGCACTTTTAATCCAATCATTACATATATGGATTACAAGAATCTTAAATATTTTATATTGATATATGTTTTGAATTATTGCCAAACCTACTAGAATATGTCTTTGTTAAGTTTTGATTTTAAAATCATTTATTAAGTAAAAAATATTACAAGATTTATCAAATTTTCTTTTTATATATATTTATCTTCTACTAAAAGAAAAAAATATAGATTTTGAATATAAAAGAATAATTTTCTTAAAATCAAAGTATTTTCATCTTTGAGTAATAAAATCAACATTAATTATTGAATTAATCTTTTTTAAGTAAGTTCAATTAAGTATGTCTTCTAATTCTCTTATTTATGATATTAATAATAATTTTTTTAAGTCTTTTCATATTTCTAAGTTTGAGTTCAAAAATAATCTACTTTTTTTTGAAAGGTAATTATATATTACAAAAAATAAAGCACAATTGTATGTTTTTTAGGCTCGTTATGATTTTCCAATTGTATAACAATTTGGATACAATAAGTCTTCAGAGCTAATATCTAAAGATTTTTGGTGGCCTCAAATATAGAACGTAGTTAAAGACTTTATTCAATCATTTGACATTTGTTGAAGATCAAAAATTCCTTGTCATCAATCTTATAATTTTTTTTAATTATTACCTATTTTAATACAACCATGGTCTTTTATCATAGATCTTCCAGTCTTAGATTTTT